TGCATAGACTAAAGTACAAAGCAGTGAAAATCATTAATAAACAATCGTTCGATTGGCTGAATTGCACAGAACGCATGATCGCACCGGCTAGTCTGGTTCGCGTTGCCATTTATTACTTTTGTGTACATTATATATATATATATATATATATTTGTGGGTATGTGTCTATTTGTTGGTTGGAAAATTACAGAAGCTAAGACTTCAAATCCACACTAAGGAGTTTATGAACTGGTGATTTTGCAAAATTAACTTGTTCGACGAAAAACAATAATACAAATCAAAGTAAGACGAAATTCAATATCTGCTATCGAGTTGTCAAATGCGCATTGCGGTGTCACACACATTTCTTTTCCAGTGTCTGTAAAGCTCATACATTTCCGATTTTCTCGGATGTCACTGAACAATATGGTCGCAAAAATGCGCGGTATGCCACAACAAATTGTGAATTGCGACGGATACACCGCAGGGTGATGTCCAGTTAGTGAAACAGCAAATAGTGTTTGAAAATATTTTATTTTCGACGAACATTCAAAGTATAAGTAAATTTTTGGCCAAATTATTTTAGAGCGTGGTATCTGGATCAGTTAGAAGTACTGCTGATTGGGTGGATATACGAATAAGGGGCATGGATTGTTTTGTTTTTGTAATACATTGGACAGTCGTCCAATCTGATGCATAAACCGAATGGGCCACGGACGAATTTATTTGCGGAAGGGCAGTAGCAGCCAGCTGGTTTACATTCCTTGGCGCATTTGATGACCGGTTCCGCGCACGTGCCTTCACAAACACCGCACTTCATGTGCACTTCATTCCTTGTACAACTGCCACCTGAAAAGAGCACTTTTTCACAATTTCCGGACGCTTCGCTACCCTGCATTGTGCGTTTTTAGCTAATGAATTCAGAGTATTTGGCTCAAAGTGGAAGGGTCTATCAGGCACAACTTTGCCCAGCTCGTAGATTCATTCAGTCAAACTGGAACCTCGAACCGTCAATTAACGACAATGTAATGAAATATAAGCTTTTAATCCATCAGCAGCTTATCCAGGCTTCGGGAAACAAGCATACTCGAAAACGTGGTCATAAGGTGGTCGCTCACAAGCAAGAAGTCTCTTCCACTAGATCTCTCGCCAGTTCTATTTCCAAGTTTTTTCTATCTCTGAATTTATCCTTCGAATCTTATTTTTCGCAACATTATATGCACTATGTGTGTATTACATGCATTCGAATGCATTAAATGCAACGTTCGCAACATGCATTATACATGTGTTCATGGTTCATTCAGAAAAGCTCGAAAATCAAAAAATAATGACCTGGATTGGACGCAGAATTATAGCTTTGTTGATTCTGAGTGGATGGCGTCCCATCGCTGTT